TTATTCTGAGTTATTTGTTAGTTTGAAAGGTTAATTCCAAGAACTTTCCTCAAGAAAATGCTGAAGGCTTGTTCTGAACAGAGGCTTTTTGTGAATGTGGTGAAAAAATTTAAGAACTCCACATGGGAAAAAATCCTGAAGAGAAAATGCAGTCGACCAACAAAGACGATCAAAGAAGACATTGCTGGACTCTGAGTGTTTGTAAGCCGGCATGCTGGGCTGTGTTTGTGGAGAGAACCTCGAGCTCGATCTATAGTTTACTGTGCTCGACTAGAGTGTATTTAAATCTATAGTTTTACATTGAAGTTTTAATAAATTGTTTTTTAATGTTTTTATTAGATGTATTTTCATCGTTAAATTATGACATTTTTTTATCCAAATACATCTTTAGCATATGTTTATACTGTGAACTGTTTTATTAAGACTTCAATGTAAAAAATTCAATGTAATCAGTTTATTTGAAGTAGTAATTTGCTTTTGTAGTCTAAGCTTTTGCTACCGAAGCCAATAAAGAGAAGTTTGGACTAAGAGGCTGAACAATATTTGGTATTATTTGGCGAATTAAATCATAATAAGAAAACATTCAAAGCTATAACATCTACATGTCATTTCATAAAGTTTTAATTTATTTTAAATTATATTTACCAATCCGAATTCTTCAGCCATTTAAATGAGCTCAACACATTCTTTACCCAAGAAATATGTAATTGTACCTTATGTGAAAAAATCCAATACGAATGTGTTGATGTAAAAATGAAAAAAAAAAAATTATAGAATCTACATACAATATATCAATCAATCCTGAAAAGAGTGAAATCAAAGGCTCTAATTTTACCATATTCCAGTCAAACCTAAAAAGAATAAAATCAAAACTCCAAATTTCTCTTCTCATGTTTCCAATATTTTTGCTACTGATTTATCCTTAATGAATTTTTCAAAGTCAGACCATCATCATTTTCTAGAAATCAAGTAGATGGGGGAGAATAATAGTAATATTGGTGGTGGTATTCATCTATTATTATTAGCTAATGACTGGTCAAATTGTTTCATCAATCTGTAAAATCCAAATCTAGGCTTGTTTAATCTTCATGAGAACCAACCATAGAAAAATGTCAATCCTTATTAAAGATGGTAATAGGTCTTAGTCTTGTCTAGGTAGGTCATAAGCACAGGCTGGATAGATCCATGTGGGAAATAAATTAATATATTGGTCTGTGTTTTTATTTAATCCTATATTTTAGTGATACATGTTATTTATAATTTCGATCAATGTTCTATAAATTCCAAGAGAGAAACTCAAGTAGATATTTTAAATTTGTACATACAATTGGAATTTCTTTTTTATTATTCTTTACCTGAAAAAATGTCATGATAAAAAACGAAGATAATGATTATAAGTCTATATCAACGATAGTTTAAAATATGAAGTTATTAGTTAAATAAATATTTTTTGAATAGACTATATAGGTTCAATTTCCAAAATTTAGATTCATATTCGTGGTAATTGTTGTAGAAGACATTAAACAAAAGTTATAGTAGACCTAGAAAAGTTATTTATTGTATGACTTCTACCTGTTTATTGAACTCAAATAAACCACAAACATTTTAATTATAAAGAAAGCATTTTGTGTGTATTATTAAGGATAATATAATAAATATTATACTTTATAAGGGGAAAAAGGGAAAATAAAAATAAAAATAAAATGCACATTCTATCTTTGTCTGTAGAATTGAAACTTGAAAGTGCCGTAGATGTGACGAATGAGATGAATTGGTCACTACTCACTAGTCAGTGGCTCTACGCGCCAACGAAGACCAAGCTTACACTTTTACGATTTTACCCTCTTACATTTAGTCTGTTTTTCTTTTATCTTTTTTTTTTTTTTTTTTTCCTTGTGNACCCTCATATTGCGCTTATATATAATACTTCAATTATCTATCAATCACACTTAAAAAAAAAATACTAATTAAATAAATTTATCTATGATAGTATATTATCTAATATGAGTTGCAAAAACTACTATTATGTTGGATCGATGAGTGTCATTTCAAATAAATTATTTTTTGTTAAGGAATATAATACTTAAAGATCATTTTATATTAAAGTTTGTAAGTATAATTATTAATTGACATACGAGTATTATATTACTATGGATAATCTATATATATATAAAGAGAAGTAACAAAACATTAAATTATATTATCATGCATTAAATTTTATTATTCCTCCAAAATTTTCAGCATTCAATTTCATTTTTAAGTTACAAAATAACTTGCTTCAATGGCATAAATTATGAGCATAAATCAATCAAGGGACTAGGGAGTTACAAAATTGTACTCAAATTTTAAGTCACACACACTCATGAAAATGGCCGGATGTATTAGCATAAAGAAAATGGTTGTAACGGTTCTTCCATAACAATTACTTGATCAAAATTAATTTTGAGAATTATTTTCTTAATTCATATTTTTTTCGCGAATTAAATTATGATTTATTTTTATTTTTTTTATATTGTTATCTTTTTAAATTATTATTCTCTGTGCAAATGCACAGGTTGATTACTAGTGATATATAAATCATTCGCTTTCCCAATGTTAAACTTAATTTGACCACTATTTAATTAAATTAACTAGTTATTGATAAATAAACTATTGGCTTTCTCAATGTTCCCTTAGTATGACCACCATATTGTTAAATCAACAAAAAACAGGAAAAAATAGTATCGATGCATTATTATGAGTCTTATGAGTTATGACCCATTAAATGATTATGAGCAACTCAATAAATACTATTAATCCGAAACAATTTTGCTATTAAACTGCTCCAAAAGTGTAGTCAATCTTTTATAAACGACAAATAAAAAAAATATTTTTTAATTACTCAAAAAATAAAATTGAACTTTTTACATACCGTGTATAAAAAGTTGACTCCACTTTGGAGCCAAGTGTTGACTTCATAGCAAAACTATAATCTTAAATGAAATGACATGTAATGAAAAATTTATGTCAAAACGGTAATCCTAAATGAAATGAAATGTAATGGAGAATTTATGTGCAATGGATGTTCACTATGAGGCCACTCTACCTCTTTAGTTTAACCTANAATAATAATAATAATAATAATAATAAATTATATTTTCCAATAATACATTTTTATGTTAATCACAATCATTATATTTTTATAGGGTTAATCACACTCTTTAATTTATTATCATTTTTAATTTAAATTTTCACCGCCACTTAATAATAAAGAAGTAGCAAAAAGTGAAAAGATGAAGGGTCACTAGCTCATTTGTAAAGATGAAAATAAGCTGTAACGTGCCCGATCTTCTGGAGTTGGAGCTTGAATTTTACTGATTTAAACTCGTTTTATTACTAAGTCAAATTTCAAGTATTGATGAGTTGAAATAAAGTTAACATTCAAAAATGTATCTAAGAACTCATATTTTTGAGTCTTAAGAGTCAAGCTTACCTCAAAGTGGTGATTAGACATACCTTATTTTGGTTTTGATTGGATTAATTGGATAACTAGAGTTTATTTTTTAAAAAAAAGTAAACTAAGTTAGGTTTAAGTGAAATTTTGAATATGTATTAAAATAATATTTAAAATATAATGATTGAAGTTGATTTGATGTAAAAATAAGAGAGAAACGATTTGGAGGATGCGTAATTAAAATTATGTATAGTGAATTAAAGTTGATATGATATATAAAGATGATTGATTGATATTATTTAATCATATTGATAATTTGGAGAATAAATTGAATTGAGTTAAATTTGAGTTAAAAAAATTATCATAAATATAACGTAGATAATCAATATCCAATTAGGGTCTAACTATATTAGATTTGGACATGCTTCAACAGATTGTTTAATAAGTCGAGCTCAAACACAATAAACCAAATTCACAAACGACTTGTGTTTCACCTACCAACTTTGTTCATTTGTCAAAACCTTAGGGGGTGATTGGATATGAATTCAACTAGTAAAAAACAATAATTTTTTTTTTTAACTATAGTTAACTTTGAAAAAAAGTAGTATAGTTAATTGTTAGTGGATATATTAAAATAATATTTAAATTAAAATAATTAAAGTTGATTTGATGTAAAAGTGAGAGAAAATGATTGGAAGTAATGGTTAGTTAAAATTATGTGAGTGGATGAATAGTGAATTAAAATTGATGTGATGTGTAATAATGATTGATTGATATTATTTAGTTATATTGATAATATTAGAGATAGTAGAGTTGAGTTAAATTTAAATTTTAAGTGAGATATTTACCGAACAAATTATATACAATCACGCCATCACCCAGGGACCTACATGCAAAATGCGAAAACTTAAGCGAAGCCGTGTCCATAGCGTGTGTTATTCCTAGTTTACTCCCCCCAAGCCGCGGGCCCTGCCAAAGTTTTCAAATCTCACACTTTCCACCCCTTCTTTTCCATAATTATACATTAGCTAACCATAATTACCCCACTGTATTAAGGTGGACCAAATCCTGCATCAGTTATAGTAAATCTTTGTGATCAGACTTTTTCTGAATTTGTGTGAATATTCTCTCTTCACTTTCCCAACGAACCTCAATACGCGGTCCAAATCCAACCCCATAAAAGGGGCTCATTCCCCCATTAGGGTTCCAAAAAAACATAGCCTTTTTTCTCCATCTTCTCCTTTCTTCATCTGCTCTCCATTGAAGATCTTAATCCTCGAAATTCATTATTACAGTCGTTTTTGCGATTCATGTGCTTGGAGTTTTTGGGTTGAGGGGTCTTTCTTGGTCTGGTACGAGGATTTTCCGGTGTAAATACCATCCCTTTTTGATCAATTTCCACCGGCCCTGTTTTTCCGGGCTCTATTTAGGGTCGAAAATTTCAGTTTATTTTGATAAAGGTGGGGACTTTCGGTTCGCTTCTTGTTTTCCGGCCGGATTTCAATATCTTTCGTGTCTATAATTTGTTTTTCTTTTACATCCGACCCGTCACATGTGCTTTTGAGAAATGCCGGCGACAGATTACCACCATCACGAGTCATCTTCCTCGTCGTCTTCCTCCCCCTCGAGCTTCGGGTTTTCGATCCTCAGCCGGCGCCGGGACCAGGTCCACTCCATGGACCCCACCCACGGCGGGCAAGACGCCGAGCTCGAGTCCTTCCAGCGTCAGGTGGCCGAGCGCTTTCACGACCTGGCCTCATCCGACCCGGACGACCTCCTGTCCATCGCCTGGGTCCAGAAGCTTCTAGAAGCCTTCCTCCTCTGCCAAGAACAGTTCAGGATAATCATCCTCAACAACAGGGGCGCCTTCAACAAACCCCCCATGGACCGCCAAATTTCCGATTTTTTCGAGAGGGCCGTAAAAGCCCTCGACGTGTGCAACGCCATACGTGATGGAATCGAACAGATCAGACAGTGGCACAAGTTATTAGAAATCGTTTTGTGCGCTTTGGATTGTAATAATCAGAAGACTATTGGGGAAGGCCAATTTCGTCGTGCCAAGAAAGCCTTAGTCGAGCTAGCCCTCTCCATGATCGACGAGAAAGAATCATCTTCATCAAACCCGAATTCGAATTCCCACCGAAACCGATCCTTCGGTCGCCACCAGCAAAAGGAGCCCAAATCATCGAACAATTTGGGCCATTTCAGGTCCCTTTCATGGAGCGTTTCAAGATCTTGGTCAGCTGCCCGACAGCTGCAGGCAATCGGGAATAATTTAGTTGCCCCACGGCCAAACGAGACCGCCTTAACCGGCGGGCTCAATGTAGCTGTCTTTACAATGAACTATGTTCTCTTGTTTGTGATGTGGGCCCTAGTGGCCGCTATCCCTTGCCAGGATCGCGGGCTGCAGGCCCATTTCTACGTGGGGAGGCAGTTTGTGTGGGCTGGCCCGATTCTCTTGCTGCACGAGAGGATTTTGGAGGAGTCGAAAAAGAGGGAGAGGAGGAATACGTGTGGGCTTTTGAGGGAGATTCGGGACGTGGAGAAGTGTGCGCGTTTGATGAATGAGATGACCGATTTTGTGGATTTCCCGTTGAGAGAGGAGAAGGAGAGGGAGGTCCGGACGAGGGTTCGCGAGGTTGGTTTGGTTTATAATGGGATTAAGGAAGGTTTGGAGCCGCTTGAACGTTTGGTTCGGGAGGTTTTTCATAGGATTGTGCGGGTTAGAACAGACGGGCTTGATTCGAGTGGGCGGGTTAATGGCTAACTTTAGTCTTGGTTTGATGTTGGGAGATATGGACTTTGAGGGATCTTTTATCTTTTTTTTCTTTAANTAGTGGAGGCAATGTTTTTAGAGTAAAAGAGCTGAGAAAATGTTGAAAGTTGGAGTCTTTGTTTGTATGTGTGATGGAATGAATGTGTAAATGGAATTAGGGAGGAGATATTTTGCTATGCATCCTTTTTCTTCTGCTGTTTTCTTTATTCTGTACAATGTAAAATGTGAAGAGATTTTGGGCAAGTTTTTTTCATGTGACAGTGTTGGAATTGTATATTGATGTTAGCTTTTGATGATTTGAGTTTTTGAAAGTTTGGTTCTAAAATTTTGTGACATGAGTTTATGGTTGTGGTTTGTGGAATGCATATGCCAAGTTTTTTTCTGCATAATTGTCTTTATGGAGCATACTAAAAGCTTGAAGTGTTTGGCTATTACAATATGCTATTCTACTTCATTTGGAATTTGGATATCAGGCACACTTGTAAAATAAGAAAGTGGGAACCTATGCATAAAAAATAACCAAAAAAAAATGGAAACTCATGGTATTTATTAATCATTTAAAGGGTGCACTAGACATGCCCTAAAGTTACACAATCATGAATCATGTTTTGACATTTTTGTGTATAACTATGCTTTTTTTAAAAAAAAAATAAAAATAATTATGATTAATCAACATGGTGAATGGTTATACCGCCTCACACAAAAATATATGTTTATGAGTATGTATTTTTTAAAAAATAATTATATAATATTTTAAATGATTGTTTGCTCAATGGTATGCCGTTTCACACAAAAATTTGTGAGTAATTTATTTATTTTTAAGTAGAAATTTGCAGTACTGTACTCTTCTTTTCCCTTTCGCTAGTTGTTAATTTAGACATGTTATTGATGCAGCAGTTGCAAGAAATATAAATATTAAAAAAAAAAAGAAGAAAAAAACGATCCCTTTTCCTGAAATATTGATTTGTTATTCCCCCCCTATTTTTTAATTTGTTCACATGCATTTGAAGCATGGGAAATGCTCATCTAACCAAGTAACTGCCGTTAAGATTTCGTAATGTTGTAATTATATATTATAATGCCTATCTACCCACGATAACCACCCACAAGTTAAGATTTACTAATCTTTCAATTATATATTTAACAGTGTATGATGTGTCAATCTAATTGGTTTATATATTAGTTGTGGTGGTTGTGCGGTGTAGGAATGTAACAGATTTACCTCTTATTTATTATATTACTTATAACAGGAAGGGCATTAATAAAGTGAACATCAAATAATAAATTATTTCACAATTCTCAACTTTTGGTCTATAATAATACCCTGCTTTGGTCTTTATTACTCGCCTGACCAAGAAGTAAATAATGATGCTAACAGTTGAGGCGTGACATTTTAGAGCCCACACTAAAGGACTTTTCTTTTGTTGACTCGATCGACCAAGTTCTTGCCGGTGATATATAATTAATCAAATCCAAGTTTTGATTTAATAATAATTACGTATATCAATCACGATTAATTATGATCCTATAAGACAAACAAGGATTTGTAGTTCTTTTTTGTTAGCACGTTTGGCTTCCTCAACACGTTGAAAGCATATTCATTTCTCTCGGATAAAATACACGTCCAAATCAATATTACTATACTTTTTTGTTTATATTATTTATGAATAATACAAGTCATTGACCGACTCTACTATTGGCTTATTATATATGCACAGCTTATAAATTGGGACCATATCATACATTTGACCTATGCACAAAAATCATCGTTTTTTTTTCTTTAAATAAACACATATATAAGAAATCCTCATGTTCATATGAGAACTTTTGGGGATTTATTTCTAATTTTGCATGAGGCTTATAATATCTTCTTGTGGCTAGGCTCTACTAAGTGGGCTTGATAAATATAGATTTTTATGTAATTTCTTAAACTTTTGTTATACATAGGGTTGTTAAGGCTTGATAAGGAGTCGAGTTCGTTTATCAGCTCATTAATTTAACAATTCGACTCGAGAAGGGCTCAAGGTCGAGCTAGGGTATCAGAAGTTTGAGCTTGATTCGACTTGTTTATAGCTCTAATCACTGGTCATGGTATGAAGTAAGTTGATAATATTTTTAAAGGAAAAGAAAATGCTTCTAATTAACTACATGTTTCATTAAAATGAAACAACATTGCGTGCTTGGATATAAGTTTTTTGAAAAAAAATGAAATCTAATCTCAATTCAAATTTAATTCAATTTTAACTCAACTCCACGTTTCTCAATATTAATAATATTATTAAATAAATATCAATCAATAATTCTAATTATACATTACATCAACTTTAATTCACTATCCATCAACTCACATAATTTTAACTACTCATCACTTTGAATCTCTTTTCCTACTTTTACATCAAATCAACTTTAATTATTTTATTTTAAATATTATTACAACTTTAAAATTCATTATCCAATCAACTTTTATGAAATTAACTTTGGTTAACCAAAAAAATCAAAACTCAATAAATATAGTGGGTTGCACGGTGTGGTTGGGCTTAGTCATGACCTTTATATTGGGCCTGTTTTTCGCTGAGGCTGCCTTGATTCTTTTGGTTGGGCTTTTTGTTGGGTGAGAACCGTAAGGAGGAATGAAGTTGATACGGATTTTATACTGGGCCCACTATGTTTAAACCCGTAAATTGGCAGACATCATCAAGCGTCAATAAGAAAATGTCCTAGTCTGAAGAAGCAACCACAAGATTGACTAAGAGGATCACCAACCATGCTGACCTAGGTCCTAGAAATAAAACACCACAATAAGGCCTCAAAAGAATAGCTACTCAAGCTTTCAGACAGTAAGTATATTTACTGTCTGGAAGTGAAAGTGAATTAAGCCTAACTGATTTGACAGTAAGAAAAAAAATTGATTTATCCATAAATCTATTTTAGACACAAGTAAAAACTCAATATCTTTGCATTTACATAGTTTTGACTACTTTTACTTGATTATGTTCATGTTATCCACAGTTGAGTCCATTATTATGCCATATAAGAAAAATTAAACCAAAATCATTAGTTCTGTTGTTCGACGGATTTTAATTGAGTCGAAGAAGGTGGATCCTGAACTAAAAATTATTTGAAACAATGCGAATAAATATAGACAATCCGCCAACAAAATCTTAAGACGAGTAAAGAAACAGACAATCAACCAACTAAGATTTGTTTTGAACCTTGAAGGAATGTTCAATAAACATTTTTGCGAAAAACAGGG